ACCACTTACCGGCAGGAATCCAGCCCAGCAAGGGATCACCACAGCAGTGAGCTGGCTGTCACTGGACTGCACCAGAATTTGTTCCACAGTGACATCTTGTGGTAACAACTGCAGGGGGCCCCTTCAGGCTCTGCCCTAAATGTTAGAAACAGGCTGTCTTTGGACAAGGATACCCTTCAAATTTCTCAACTTACTGCAAGAGAACGATGTATTGAGTGAGAGATATTAAACTTATTGAAAATCTGGGTATATGGAAAATTAAAATGTTAAATGATAAAACTAAAGAGCTATGATTCTCTTTGTAATGGTGAAGCTGATTGTAATGATTTTGCAAAGTTATTTCATCAAATCTAAAATGCCATCAACTGTAAAATGCACCAAATAGAAAAAATGCTCAACATAAGGAGCTTAATGGGAAATTCCAGAAAAAAAGCTGGAAAAGCAAAGAGACCCCCAGTGTGAAGGTTAAAACTGAAAACCCTTCCCTGCAGAAGGGGACATTGAGAAAATCTGCAGGAATCCAGCTTGGCACCGGGTTCAGGGGTGGGATCGACTCTGAGAATTTGAACTGCAAGCTGGTGCTCACCTATGTTTGAGGGCTGAATACATGCAGGGTGGTCCCAAATCCCTCAGGTGCAAGGTCATGTTATAGTGGTCTCAGAGGTGTTCCAGGTGCCTGGCACTCCAAATTCAAATCCTCTGTGAGGGAAATCAGCATTGAGCCAGGCCAGTAAGGAGTGTAAGGTACCACTGAGCTCAGAGAGGCTCACATATTTAAAAAATGTGCATCTCAAAGTGTGTGTGTCAAAGAGAAAAATGCCTATTTGGGGTAGAAGGAACCTACGAAATCATGTGGGGGACTTCTCATCGTACCTCTGAAGACAGGTACCCCCACATAGTGCACAGCTAATGGCCTTATTCTAGCTTGCTGAAGGGGGACTGGCCACAGAGGGCATTTTCCAGATCCCCTTCTTGCTCCTTCCTGATGACATTCGGCATTGCACCTGGTCCCGGTCTTCAAACTTCCTTGACCTGAGGGTCCCCTGGAGTTTCTTCTGGCTGTGTACACTGATGGTCTGGGATGTCTCACCATGGCCATGTCTTCCTGACATTTCCCATTTGCTGCAAAAGTCAGAGACCCACTCGTTCTTGGGGTCCTTGAATTCTGTGACCCTTTCCTCCAGAAAGTTTCCTGAGAACTTACTGCAGTCCCACTAGGGTACCCCACTTTCCTATGTACCTGAGCCTTCTCCCACCCCACCCCCGTATTAGTCCTTAATTACAGGGGACTTCAGACTGGTGGCAGCCTGGGACCAGACCCTCTTCCCCTGACTCCTCAAAGGCTAGGTGTACGCAAGAGGTGAGGGGTCCCTGCCCTCCATACCCAGGGTGGGGCATTGTCAGAAATGTGGAATTTCAGGCCCCATTCCAGACCTGCTGAATCAGAATCTGCATTTTAACAAGACTGACACCCCCACCCGCAACCAGGAGATCTCAGCCTGTGTACCTTAGAGTCTGAGAAGCCATGAGTTGAACTGACTGGAAAGCACCTTGAACAAACTATCTTTAGAGCCCAGCAATGTGCAGTGGTGGGCTCCTCCCCACTCCCGTGTTCTCCCCACCTGAACCTGGAGAGCTCTAGGTGGGAGCACCGTGCCAGGCTCCCCTGCCAGCTGCCACATGGAGAACTGTGGTCTCCCCTTGGGGCTGACATTATGCTTCCTTGTGAGACCGGTGCCCTGGTCTGTTGCCTGCCAAGCCCATGATCAAAAATAAACAAACTCTCGGCAGCACCTGTGGCTCAAAGGAATAGGGCACCAGGCTCATATGCCAGAGGTGGCGGCTCAAACCCAGACCCAGCCAAAAAATAAAAAATAAAAATAAACAACTCTGCAAGCAGCTACCTGTGCAGTAAAAATCAGAGTCCCCACCCCAGGACCTCTGGAGCCCAGCTCAGGATGAGGTCTTAATCTGTTTTACAAACAATGACTAGACACTCTGAGGGGTTAAGTGACTTGCCCAAGGTCAGACAGCTAATAGCTGGTAGAGCAGGGAAGTACATCCAGGCCTGTTTGCCTGGGGACTTGCTTTCTTTACTGAGTTCCATGCTAAGCAACGTGGAGGACAGGGAGGGGACATGTCCCTGGTCCTCTCACCCATAACAGTCCCCAAAGGTCACTTCACTCATCTCTGTTTACAGATGGGGAATCCAAGGCCTAGAGGAATGACAAGCTCAAGGTCACACAGTGAGAGAGGGAGAGCACTAGGACCAGATCTGCGGTGTCCACATCAAAGGGACAGACTCTCACAGGCAGCAGAAACAGAATTATCCTGGGTTCAAATGCCAGGAAGCCCTTAAGGGTGCCCCAGCTGGACCTGAGGGTGCAGGGTCAGTGTTGACACTAGGCACTGGCTTGGGTTCCTGAGTGTAGGCCGGGCACCTACCACTGCTCACCATAGCCTGTGACCTCCAGGCCTAATATTCCCTTTTATGGGCTCCTTAGTAGATACCTCACTGCCTGTGAATCTGCTTTAGGGCAGCAAAACCAGGTCTGATTCCACCGGCTGGTGGGGGTGGGTGGACTGCTCAAAAGCCAGACCACACTAAGCCCTCTTCCAAAGGCTTCCTGCCCCACCTGCAGCAACTGCAGAGAGCTGCCTTGCCAGGACATTGGGACCTACCTATGCCACACCTGTTCTGTCATCTGCTTGTCATTTTCTTTTTAGTCATCCTTTTTCAATTATGCAAAGTTATTTGAAAAAGAAATTTCCTGTGACCACCTTAAATCAGAATCACTTGCTATGATTAGAAGGTAACTATAAAAATAAATACAACGAAGTCCAGCACGGTTATTACATCCTAACAAGGCTTGGCCTGAGACAGGCCGGAGTCTGAGCCGGCCAGTGGACTTTTGTTAAAAGACAGAGACAGAGAGAAACGAGTGTTGGAGGCCCGCTATCACCACGCTGAGACTTCTGTTTGATTTACTCTGCTACCAAAGGAAATAAGTTTCTGAGCACATGGTGGTCCTGATCATCTGGTGCTGTGTGTCATCCCAGAGCATCCAGGGTCTCACCCAAGCACACTGGGAGCTTTGCTCCTGAGCCCCGGATTCAACCCCACTTGCTTTCCTGCCCCTAAATCATGGGCTCAGTTCTGACTTTGATTGCCCAACCTTGGCTTTCAACTTCCCCTCAGACTCCAGCTCCTGACTTCACACCCTGACCTCAGGTAAGACCCTCAAGGGGAGGAAGTGCTCTGAGCTGGTCAAAGTCAGCAGCACACGCCCTCGGGTGGGCGCCATCACCCATCCAGCTGTGTTCTGCCACTAGGAGCAAGAAAATGCCCTCCCCCA